CGGTGCCGGTGAGCCGGGAGCCGGTCTCGGCGCGCAGCCCTGCGCCAGAGCGGGAGTCAGGGCAGCATTCCCAGAGCAAACAGCAGGGACACCCCACCGAGGGCACGAGCAGCGAGCGACAAACCTGGTGTGGAGAGCTGGGACACGTCGGGCACGACGATGAGCGAGCCGGTGAAGTCGCACTTGTCGCCGGCCTGCGCACGGCCTCCGCGCGCAGGATCACCTCCACGCTGCGCGGGATGCTGCCGTGCGGCAGCTCGCCCTGCGTCTCCTGGATGCGAACCTGGGCAGGCACAGAACACTGAGCACCAGCCACTGTCACCAAATTCCTAACTGCTTCGAACACTGAGCTGCTAGTAGATGTGGTAAGCAGCATCTGATTGCTGCCAACCGTGTCAACCACAAAATTTGTCTTACAGTGAGACAAACAACCTCTGTGCTAATCAGTACCTAAGGAGTCTTGGGGAAACTTAAGAGAAGCAGCTTGAAAACTCCACTTCATGTAGCTGACATAAAACACGACTGCAGGATGTGTTGAGGATTTGGGAGAGTAAATTATTCTAGAAGAGCAAAACACTGCACATACCAAGACACCTCATTTTATATTTGCATCAAACAACTACAAATCATGTACCTGCAGTATGAGATAAACAATGGCTTGATTATGTGGGGTTTCAGTGGTTTACTTAGACCACAGAAACTGGTTTGATACTATTAATCTTCCATGCTTAAATCTAAGCCTTCCATAGAAAGAACTTTCTGCAGAAATTCCAGTGCCTCTTCTTGAGGTCTTGTCTTGATGTCGACAGAACCAAATCTGTTTTCACAAAATCACAGAATCAAATAGGCTGGAAAGACCTCTGAGATCAAGTCCAATCTATGAACTAACACCACTATGTCAACTAGACCATGGCACTAAGTGCCACGTCCAGTCTCTCCTTAAACAATGTGTGTCTTCAATGTGTAGCAGAACAATCAACCCTTCTAACGACCACAGGAACATCATTTTTTGTCACTGTCCTCCAACCTCACCACTGTACCTTTTGGAAATCAACAACCTCTGAGATCAAGTCCAATCTATGAACTAACACCACTATGTCAACTAGACCATGGCACTAAGTGCCACGTCCAGTCTCTCCTTAAACAATGTGTGTCTTCAATGTGTAGCAGAACAATCAACCCTTCTAACGACCACAGGAACATCATTTTTTGTCACTGTCCTCCAACCTCACCACTGTACCTTTTGGAAATCAACAAAATTTGTTCGTTTTTTTTTTCAGGAATCTCCTCCTGTTGGCACAGACTGGGTTTCTGCAGATGTTTGGCTGTGTGTATTTGAACTGCTGCTCCACATCTTTGATGACAGTCTGGCAGTCGAGGCACAGGAAGGTTCCACTCACGAGCTCGGGATGGACAGGGTGGGTACGAACCACCTGCCCACTGATGCGCAGCAGGGAGCCAATCCTTGCTGAGGTCAGTTCTCTAATTCTGTTCAAAACAGAAATTCATAAGGATTTCATTACTGAATTGACAATTCTAGGCCCAAGGTACTAAGAGACAACACAGCTTCATTCAGTCTGTGACTAAAGAAACAAAGTCACTAGAATATATTTGCATTTTATGATCAACTGCATTTTATGATCAACTGCACATTTCACACTATATAATCAAAACATTTTCAGTGTGCTTTGACACCGTTTTTTCCCCCCAGTAGTAAAAATGCACAAGTTGCTGGAATTAATAATCATCTTACTTGTGTCTGGTAGGCAGATCTTGGAAGGCAACATAGAAATCCTTGTTTGGAGGAACTTTTCCATGGTCTCTGGCAAAAGTCTTTGTTGCTCGACAGAGGTAAGGATAAACCCTGAAATATGGAAAGAAAAGCTCAAATTTTGCAGAAGCTATCAAAATGCCTTCTCTGGTTTCGACTGCAGCAAAGGCTGGTATCAGATTTCCAGGTTCTGGCTTTTACTGCCACATTATGCAGCACAAAAAAAGCTAATCTAAACATGCTAAATGGAAGATTACTGCATAATAATGTTATTTGCTTTATTGTTTGATAATAGACTTTTTAAAGCCTCATTTTATGACAATTTTATCCCTATATTAAGAAATGACTCTTCAAAATAACCCACTAGCTCAATAAAATATTTTCACAGCATGAAATTTAAGTTTGTTCTGTATTCCCATGCTGACCCATCTACTTCTCTACCAGAATAAATGCAATTGCCTTGTTAACTCATTGTTTCCAGAGAAGAATCCACTGACAAATGCTTTGATCCAGCAAAAAATAATAAATCTTAAATAGAAGTGTTTTCAGGATGCAGAAAGCAGATAAACCTCTCACTCTTTACACAACTGGCAAGATATTACAGGCCTGAGACTTCAGCAGTGTTCAGCTTTACCTGAAAAATAAAATCTTTACACTTTACCTATAAAATTCCTCCTGAATAGTGGTAGAGAGCTGCTGATTGAACTGTTCCAAATCCACAAAGCTGACAATCAACGTGTTCCTCTCTGGCCGAATCAGTTCTTCGGCATCACGTAAGTACTTGACCTCCCCATCACTGTTCTGGAACCTGAAATGGATTTGGGGAAATGTTTCAGTCACACAGCAGGCAACAAGTGAGTACTTCTGAGCTCAGGAGAGAAGGCAAAGAAAAGGATTTCTCACGTTAAGGCATCCCACAGTCCCTTGCAAAGCACTTTTCCAACAATATTTCTTCTTCCACCCCCTCCATCTACCACCACCCCAACACTGATGCAGCAGGTTTGCATTTCATGCAGCAGAGAGCAGTCCTGAGTGCCACAGAGTGTTACTTATGGTTTAACAAAGACTCTGCCCCAGCAAATGGGGTTTTACTTCCTCAGGGTGATGTTAATGGTTGCATTGTTTGCTGCCAACGGCTCCTTGGGAGGCAAAATGCAGCGAGCCAGACGTGCTGGTGTTACCATCCAAGCCGTGGCAGTGGTTTTCAACAAGGCTGTCACAAAACTTTGGTAAAAGGGACCACGTGCACCTAATAAACCAAATAACCACAGAATGGTTTGGCTTGGAAGGGATTTTAGGATCACTTAGTTCCAACCCCATTGCTACGGGCAGGGACACATCCCTCTAGTCCAGGTTACTCCAAGCCGCATCTAGAACACTTCCAGAGATGGCGCAGTCACAACTTCTCTGTCTCTGCGGAACAAAGTCCCCGACAAAGCTCTCTAGGAAGCATTTTGCCAACCGCGGGAGCGCCGAGCT